CCTTACATTTTTTCATTGTTTAGGTCACTGTGAAATTAAATCCAAATTATATACAAAAGAACAGAATGTTTAAATGAGAATGAGAGGTAGTATGTGGGATTCTCTTCAGTCCTATAAATGGTGCAACACTATAAGCAGATAGACTGCTTATTAGTTTTATTGTTTTATGGAATTTGAAGACAGTGAGTGCTGAAGAATGAACAGACTTTGGCTTGAAAAGTGTTCATCTGTGCTGCAGTAGTGAGGGATAGAGTGGTTTCTTGGACACACTGGGAATCAGGAGAGCCAAAAGTGAGTCACATGGACGACTGCAGACATCACATTTAATTGTGTAATAATACTACAGCAAGCACAATTGGAGCAGGCTTGCTGACCTCACAGCTGAAAGCACTATTTAAGATCTGGCTACCAGATGTTCCAATAGGATCTAGCCAGCTGCTAGCAGAGATTACCCTGAGTGTTTTAACAGGGAATATTTACAGACTAATAGTTCGGAAGAGATGATTGCACTAATTTTCTTTTCTGCCCTGCTGTGGGACAAGGCTCAAGCATGGGGATTCAAGGACGGAGTACTGCATAACTCTATTTGGTTAGGTAAGAAATAATTTAATCACGAATGTTTTGCTGCAAAAGTCACTGTGTTTTTCTGACAGTATAAAGATGAGCACCTAGCAATACAAAATTGAGCCATGCATTAAGATTAAGCAAAATCCTGCATTGAAATTGGTGATCATTTTATCTGAGTAGTGACTGTAAGTTTTGTCCTTACGAGCTTATTGTTTTTGCTATTTCTCTGAAGTGCAGGAAAAAGTAGTTATGGAATACTTCATCTGAACGTATTTTCCTACAGCATGGGGTAAAGTGAAAACAGTGTTAAATAACAGTTGCTTCTAATGAAGGACAACGAGTATGAAAAGAAACATTTGCCAAAGGAATTAATTACTTTCTGCATGAACATACTTCGAATGCCTGGGGTCCTACATATGAAATTAAATTATCTGGAAATAATAGCGATAATATTTCCTAGGTTTCTAGGAAAGTACAGAAATGTCTGTGTTTTGGCCGTTGGTTTGTTCACATCATTAAACAGCGGACAGAAGATTTCAAAAGGGCTACAGAAAATGCTGTGGGAATGGTTTCTTATACCTCAAGTGGGTTTAAATAGCTCTTAAGAGTTCTTTTATAGATCTTTATAATTATCCAATGCAACAGAAAAACATTCAGAATACAATCACATAAAGGATGCCAAAACAAAAACATGCACCGAGTGCTCCATTTTACAGAGAAATACTTCGAAACTCCTTTATCCTCTCTAGAATGCTGTGTATTTCTTTAAGGATTTTGAGGAATTCCTGCAGCCGGTACACATTTCTGTTGTGCTCAGATGTTTCACGAGGGATTGGGGCCATGCTCTTATTAACTGGTGCAGCAACCACGTGACTCCTATCCCTTCTCAGAGGACCATGTAAACTAACAGGAACATAAATGAGAAGGAGAAGTGATCTATATTGTTTTCCACTTGACTGCATATTTTTAATGACTTCTCTTTCCTTCTCAACTTGGAACATGCCCGCTGCGTCCTGAAGTTGCTGAAGGTGCTTGGGTGGGGGAGAGCTCCAAGGGAGGACAGCTTGGCAGCTCTGTGCACCACCTCAAGTGGCTGCTACTCAAAAAAAAAAGGATGGCAGAGAAGAGGTTTGTGTGAGAAACAAGCAAATTCATATTCTTGGCTGGAAAAACAGTAAGGAGACACAGAAGATAACTAGGACTGAGGCTGTAGGGCACAGAAGTTGAGTTGGATACAGGCTGTGATGGGTATTCTGGTAGAGAAGGTCAGAGCAACGAGCAAAGCGGCTTGCTGAGTCTGGCCCCTTGTTTATCTGTAGCCTGTACAGGCTGTCCCAGCACAAGCAAACAGCACGCAACCGTGCACAGGTCCTGTCTGGGGTTTAACCATTCTCGCCTTCCCTGGCGCAGTTTTGCTCTCAGCCAGCCAGTGGTCTTCTAAAGAGCACACCCATGCAGCGCCGGGGAGAGCCGGGGCTATGCCTGGGTGAGACCCCCCCTGATGAGGGGGAGGAGGGCTCAGGCAGACACCGTGCTACTTGCTCTCATGGACAGAGAATGAGTCCTGGGGGTTTATTTGCAAATGTTGGTGCATCCACATGACTGCTGCAGCTGGCCAGCCTGGATGTAGCCTGTAGGGGCTTCTACAAAGATTAATGTGGACTGGGGATAACACTGATCATTTAAGCAGTTTTATGAATTGAAGTCCATTTGAAGAAAAAATATTCCAATTCCTTGAAATGAAGAAACAGAGCATTAACTGGAACGCATAGTAGAATTATGTTTTGCTACACCTTTAGCATTTACCATGAGAGTAAATAAAAATAAACCATGGGGTAAAAACTGATGACTTGCTCTAAATAAAGAAAGATGCGCAAAACCTGGAAGCACAGTGTGCAACTTCAAGTCACCACTCTGCTTTCCTATCTGCAGGACTCTGTTGAAGCTCCTTTAGAAATGCACCATCTAGTGTAACTACAGGAATAAAATCATTGAAACAAACCTCAGAATGCAGTTAACTGAATTACCAATGCAATTCAGTGACATTGTATAGAAATGAAGAAAAATTTGGCAAAATCACAGCCATCCAATTTATGCATCTCTGTATTTACTTACTCGCTATCCAGGAGCATTAAAGCAAGACCCTCTCCCCTGAATAAAACCTAGGAATGTGCAGTGACATCTGAGCTTTGCTTATCTCCTCCCCTTCTGATAAAGCACTATCAAGACCAAACTGGAAATGAAGGGAGTTTTCCATTTTACCTTTCTTCCTCAACAAATCATTAGCACAAATATAAAATCTTCAATTAATGCCTGTCTAGAAATGCTCGTGTCTTCTACGTTTTTTCTTGTTACAAAGCATCTTTTGTTTTCTCAGTAAGCACGCAGTCCTGCTGCAGCTGACTCTTACCACCTTCCTGATGTCTTTCTGGTGTGAATGGAAGGTTATTGTTGCTCATCTTTGGCACAAGCACATTATAACCAAAGCTTTATTGTAAACTGATGAGAGGATTGGAGCAGTCTGGCCCAAATATGCTCATACGCTTATTTGAGTGCCGGTTCTTAGTGCCACAGAGTAAGTTTCCCAGGGCAGCTGCTGCGCTCTCCGTGCTCAGAATTTCAGCCCCATTCGCACACCGTGTGTCATTACAGTGTAGGGTCTGGACCTACCCTGGTCAGTGGAGTACTTTGACTATCACCGTGCGCATTAGCAGGGGCCCGTGCCAGCAACTCTACATGGCCATCCCCTGCTTAAAAGTTAAATACTTCTTTCTATTTAGGATTTAATATTTGTGTCATGCATGTTGAGGGTACTTCATTAGGCCAAATTTCATGCTTGTTGTGTTTGTGCAGAAGAGACTGGCTACATTTTACCATCTCCTACTGCTGTGGGTGAGTAGAGGGTTACTGTCCTTGCAGGATCCTGCTGTCTCTGGACTTCAAGGAGAGATTTTAAGAAATGTGAGTTGGAAGAAACACGTCCTGTCAGCCATGTAACCTGTCACCTTTTGCGTAAGAATCAAAGAAGGAAAGAGGGTGGAGAAATCCCTGGGAGAACAGTCCCAATATGCAGGTTTTCAGGCAAAGAACAAACGAACTTTGCTGAGAGTTCTCACTGTTGTTCAGGAAGAGGAGGTTTCAGGCAGGTCAGGTCAAGAGAGGAGCCTTCAAGCAGAATCCCCCATCAGGAAAGGTGCCCAGCTGAGGCTGGGACCCGTTGCACTCGGTAGCGCTGGCCTCGTGGTATACGAACAGTACGCATTTCGAGGGGTAGGCACGCGCCTGTGCTTGCAATAGAAACAAAATTTCATGCAGGTTTATCTACACTGCCATGGTATCACCTCCGTAAAGTCTAATAGTGATTTGTGCGTGTGTTCATGTATGACTGCGAGTATGTGTATATATGTATATGCAGACACATAAACATGTGAATATATATTAAGAGTTAGTAAGTACAAAGCTTTGACCTAGGTCTGGTTTTGCTGATGTGGTTTATCTTTCTGCACAGTCTCTAGTGGCATTAAGGGGTAGGGGGGAAAAATGCCAGTGAAAGATTTGATCAGTTCATTAGGATACGCTGTTTGGGAATACTGTGTCATTGAACTGTGACACAGCGAGCCAGCATCCCATCTCAAAGCTGGGTGGAGTACATGTGTGTGGTCTCTCTTTCCAAAGGCTACATTTGTCATGTTACACGGGGGTAACGGAGATACAAATCGGTGGTTGCTCTCCGCTGGGTAACACCACCCGCCAAGACCTTGCAGGAAGAGGCAAAGCAGCTCTTGCAGAAACTGGGAAGACCCAATCTTTCCAGCAATATTCTGAAAGACGTCATGCCTGTCCATACTGACGTTTTAGCGTCAGTAAGTGGGGGTAGACACCTTTTGAGGGACAAGATTTGAAAACAGTATTGCCAGGTGAAGAAGTAAGAACAACTAAAAGTGCTAAGATTTTACTGTTGGCTCCGAGAGCAATGAGTCTGAACAGCTGGCGATTTCTTCCGAATCCCTGGGGATACATCCAGCAGCAGCTCCAGGGAAGGAACAGGGTGGGTCTTGCAAAGGTGGCTGCCAGCAGGATGAGAGCTTTTACCAGCAACCACCACTGACAGTGAGCTTTAAGGCTGCTCTTGCTTTGGCTGTGACCGGCCACCTTTGCAGAGGTGACAAACCTTAGAATTCAGCTGCCCCGTACTCTTTGTCTCAGCATAGGTGGGGCAGCTCAGCTAACCCCAAGGACTACGGTCAGTGTTTTTCAATTCACCTTTCGGTTCGCTTCCCCGTGAGCTGCAGTGATCAATAACATCAACTCCAGGTTGTCCCCTGAGTGTGCCGTGAGGATAAATGGTTTGCTGTTTTCTGTAGGACTCAGATTTTCAGTTAATGCATGCTGAATCCAATACAATCATACTGTAAAGAAGCAGTGAGTGGATTTATGATCAGGTTAGACATGATGGACTATTGAGTGAATGAAAAATTATACTTCTTCTGAATAAATTTTTAATTAAAGTAGATTTTTTTTTTTTTTAAACCTAACATACTGTTACACCACAGCTGTTAGCTGCTGCGACTCTTCTTTGCAATGGAACTGGCTTCTTTGGAAAGATTTTTCCACGGAATATGTGTTATCCCATGCCCATGCCAGTGACATTCCCAGCAATGTTACAGAAAGCTGCTCTCAGTCTTCCGAGACTACTGTCAGCAATATCGTCTTCTTCACTGGGCGCAAGGCCAGTGACTGTGGGTCCAAAAACTACATTGGCAAACGTCATTCTGTATCTAATAAGGCTTCTCACCATTGCTAACCACAATTCAGTGGTGGCCATGTTTTTTTTTTTAAATATCCTAACCTAGCCAAAACTACTGACTCTAAGCATGTTCCTAGAAAAGACATTCTTTTTTTCCCATGGTACAAATAACCACTGTAAACAGTGCTTCTTGTTTCGCGTTTTTTTTCAGCCATGTTGACCGGTGATAGCTACAGACAGCCATTTCTCTCAGATTATACTAAACATAAGAAAGATCTAAACAAAAGGGCCGCTCAGATTAGATATGCAGATTGGTTCTGAGACAGATTTCCTTACATATGGCATCAGACAAGTGCAACATGAAAAGATTATAAAACTTGTAGTGGTACCGACAGTTTCTAGGTTTCCCTGGAAAGCTGCTTTATATTGTACTTGCAACAGCAAAGAAAAAAATAATGAAGAAAGCGTATTAATTTTCTGTGCAGCAAAAACATCAGCCAGCAATTGTCCTGGTCCTGCCCTTTGTGAGACAAGCTCAGATATTTTTATTTCACATTTTTATTCCCTTTAATTTCTGCCTCTCCTCTATCCAAGTAGCTCTGATTTAACTTCTCTGGAGAGTCAAAACAAAGCTCTGATTCATCTTACAAAGGCACTTAAAGTTAGGTCCAAAAGTATGCTGTGATAGCAATCCAGACGGAGCTTCCCCTGAGTCAGATAGGATACACGGAACGAGTGATGCTGACACCAGCCGATCGTTCCCATAACTACTGCCCTCTGAGTGCTCCTAGGGGAGTCCTTCCCTGCCTTTGTTGATTTTCTGTTGTTCAAAAAGTCGCCAAGCTCTGACTAGCTCTGTTGTTCAAGACTTCTCCCAAACAAAAACATACCTTCGGGTTGCAAAAACACGCCTTTGGGTTGGAAGGGACATATTTTCCTGACATTTTCCAAGTGGCGCAGCTACTAGCTGAACGTTTTGTTGTTCTTCTCACCTGGACGGCAGCCCAAAGTGCAGGTCTTGGGGAAACCGCTGGAGATGGTGGAGAGCACCCGCGAGGTGGGCCAGCAGAGATGCAATACTGAAATTATTTGTTGCTTTGGTCCCACAGAACGAGCGGCTGGAGTATATCACAGGGAGTCACGCTCTGGGAAGTACCAGCTCACCTATGCAGAAGCCAAAGCAGTCTGCGAGTACGAGGGAGGACACCTCGCCACGTATCAGCAACTGGAGGCGGCAAGAAAAATAGGTTCGGAAAAAATCACAGTTGTTTGCCTTTCACATCGCTCATTCATAATATCGCCAGTCTTGTATTATTTTCATTAATGTTATGAACTCTGGGACTGAGAGACTTGTAAACTCCCTGGATTTTTGCCCAAGTTGCATCCAATTTCCCCCCTCAGTAACAGAGCGTGACTGCGCTACCTACAGAGCTGTGGGGGATAACATCTGCACCGAGCACTACGTGTCCCCCTGAGCTCTGGGTGCAGCACAGTCCCGGAACCAGCAACACCCCATGGGGAGCCATCTGGCCGAGCTGGGAAGCGACTGTTCCTCCCCAGCTACAGCACCTGGGGGCTGCTGGGGGCTGCAGAGGAAGGCATGTATCCCCAGGGAGCACCTATAGTAAATGTGCATTGCTGGTTTTCATACCATCAGTCAATATGTTCTCATAATGCTTATTCCAGCCACATTTGCCTTCGGAGAGAGTGAGCGGGGTGCGTGGAGTGAAAAGTGGAGCTGAGTGAAGGCTCTACTGTATTTCTGTTTGATTCCTAATAAGAAATCATTAGTTCATTCAGAGCACTAGGAAAACAATGGAAAATATCCTCCGCTCTAGAAATTTGCAGGCTACGCCGTTGAGTCAGAAGCTGGCTCTCGGTACCAGCACGCATGTAGAAAGGGTACTTTTGTCTCTTCTGAGTAGCTCATAGTCCTAGGACGCCACAAATATGTTCCAGTTTGTCTCCGTGAAAACACTGAATTGGTCTCTACCAGACAGCGAATAACATTGCATTCTTTGGCTATTGTTTTTAAGTTCTCAGCCACAAAATGCATTAACAGGAGCTTTTTGTTTAGCAAGAAATACTTGAGGCATTTCAGGTATTTAAATTTAGACTGAAACTATTTTAAGTAAATACTTTGTTTTCTTAGCTGTCTTTTGGACATACCATTTTATTCATTCTCAGAACTTAATGCTGCAAACTCTTGAGATATGATTGAGTAAATTCATATTACTTCAAAAGAGAAACAAAGAACACTCTTATATAACTCATACAATATATAACTTGATTACAAATGCTGGTACAGCACTTAAAACTCACTACCCGGGAAACTATACAGTCCATCTGCATTTGATTTCTGTTTTCAGATGAAGAACCAGTAATCATGTTGTGGAGAACACGATGCAATTTTATATTCCGTGCTTAAAATTACCCTCTCAAAGTACTGTTCTTTCCTGTAGCTTGATTTCTATTAGGCCAATTACACCCAAGTCACTGGTCAGCTTGAGTAAGCCTGCACTTGCTTGAATGAAAAGCGGAGTTACTTGTCCAGGATTGATTTATCCCATCCCTGTCTCATTTTCTCCCTGTTGCAGGTTTCCATGTGTGTGCTGCTGGCTGGATGGCAAAGGGCAGAGTTGGTTATCCCATTGTAAAAGCTGGAGCCAACTGTGGCTTTGGAAAAACTGGTATTGTCGATTATGGGATTCGCCTCAACAGAAGCGAGAGATGGGATGCCTACTGCTACAACCCTAATGGTGTGTTTAGAATCATAGAATCATGGAATCGTTTAGGTTGGAAAAGCCCTTTAAGATCACCAAGCCCAACCGTTACCCTAACCCTGCCATCCCACCACTAAACCCTGTCCCTAAGCGCCACATCTACACATCTGTTAAATACCTCCAGGGCTGGGGACTCGACCCCTTCCCTGGCCAGCCCATTCCAGTGCTTGAAAAACCCTTGAAAAACAACCCTTTGCTCTTGGGGTCTAAGATTATGACTACATGCTGGGCTCTCTTGCTGCGCAGAGGCACCCAGGCTCTGAAGGAGTTAGCTTTGGTACCATAAATATGGTCTG